TGGCAGACTCAACTTCCCATGCACATTTGAGTAAATTATTCTTTGCTTGCCTAATTATCTAAACCTAACTAGAACCAATATGGCACAAACGGATCCTTTGGCCAAACTAAAAAGAAGATTTTATGCACTGTAACTTGTTTATGTCTCTTTCCCAGAGAACCTTTGTTTTTCGGGGGGGGGGGGGGGGGGGGGGGAGTTCTTCTGTTGAGAAAAATGTAGGATTGGAGAGGATCGTAAACCTAACCATGATCTTTATCAGTGAGATTATCTCTACAATCATTAGGTTTATTTAAAGTTGTGAACCTTTCTAAAACTTATAAGTCACATTAACATGATCCTCTTTGCATGATACCATCTTCTGAATTTTCAGCAAAGCATCAATATTGTACTTCCATCCTTTTGTATCCCAACTGTTCAGTAGAAATAAACCCTCACCAACATCATGAACATTAAAAGTAGTAAGCAGCGGCAAGAAGGCTGCGCGACTTGAATCCCCTTCTCAATAACACCCATATTTAAAATATTTACATGCTGCTATGACTTATTTTCATATACAAGTCTTGCAACATTTGGACCTCAACACAGTCCCTTCCGTAATAAACACCTATACAAAACCACACATCATATTCCTCTTTTGAAACTCATATGCTATATGAAATTTCCACTGTTTCATCAGTTCTTTCCAAAGAATCAATATCAGTTCTTGACAACAACAAATTTATGAAAATTCGCCAATGCTTAGGATCCAATCCAACCTTATCATGGCCATCTCATAAACTCAGCAGTTCTGCAGTGGCAGTTTTTTTCCATCCGGTAATCTTTGGTACTAGACCTCATTGCAACTTGATGTCACGTCCAACCTTGTGGTGTAAAGTTCATTGATGTAAAATTTCTCAAATCATGTTTCGGAAAACTCTATCACAGTAAAACCTAGCCAAAGCACTAAATCATATGTTGCCATCATATAAATTCTGCATAGACCCCGTCAGGGTGGAGTCAGGAATTTTGTTCAGGATGGACACTTTAATTATGCACTCTAATTTTTTTTCTTCTAACCAATCACACTATATAACATATTTATATTTATTATATTATTTTTGATATATGAAGTCCATTTAACATAAAAAACTTCCAAAAAATATATATATATATATTGTCAGGGGTGGAGCAATGAATATCTATGATAAAAGAAAAATATAACTGATATAAAAAAATATTAAGCCGAAATTAATACAAAAAAATTCAGTTCAAGAATAAAAAAAATGTAAGCATCAACACTAAATTATTGTGAAATAGTAAATTCAATTTTTATTTGCCGAAATAAAATCTTAACAAAAAGACACAAAATAATTTTTTAGTACATTTTAACCTAATTATATATTTCAATAAAATATAAAAAATTTTAAAATCTCTAAAATTTTTTGTATATGAATTAAATGTAAATTAATTTTCGTATTTTATCAGGTTATAGACTACTATTACTAAAAAAAATGCTAAATGAAAACTAAGAATTATTCTTAAAAAGTAACGAACATTGTGTTAGATAAAGAAAAATATTGTATTTTTGTCAATATACAAATAAAAAATTAACTAAATCCAAAATTAACACATTTATTTTAGAGGGTTAGTGGTCTACTAATTTATTAAAAAAAAAAGACTAGAAATATTATTAAAATTTCAAAAATTTAAGGGGTAAATATAATGTATAAAATAATTTTATAGGTTGGTGCAAGGAAGGACAAAAAAAACTCAAGGAACTGAGTTTCTCGTGTGTTGAACTTTTCTCTATTTCTTCTCTTTTGTTTGTGGCCGGGGCAGTGGGCAGTTGGAAGTAAGTGATATAGAGAGAAAAAAAAAAAGGAAAGATAAGATAGGTTTTAGTCAAGTGGACCAAAATTTTTGTTTTTTAATGATGGTGGGCCAAAATTTTTGTTTTTAATGTTGGGCCAAAAATTTTGTTTTTAATACTGAGCTAAAAGTTTTGTTTTTTTAATAAATTTGGGTGGATTGTGATAGATCAAATATTTGATTTTTTAATAAGTTTGGATAGATAATAGTGAGTTCAATTTTTTTTTGTTTTAAATGGACTTAATTGTTTAATTATTTTGAATAAATAATGTGGGTCTAATATAAATGAAGGGGCACACATAATATATATTTATAAATATATAATACATGTATCTAACTAATAAAAAAAAATTGAGGGAAGCACGTGTCTACCCTGGCCCTACGTCCCTCCGCCCACAAAATCTATTTACAGGAGTGGACCCTTGAAAGTTATGGCCTAGCAGTTATATTAGTGGACCATTTGAACACCCCAAACAATGTAGGCATGGACACCTAAAGGCACTTTCGGGCCATACAATCCAAAAGTCTTGAAGAAGAGTAGATTAGGTTGATGCATGACGAAAATTAAGCAAAGCAGGGGAAGACACCCCTGGTTTCGGGCATATTCAGAGAATCAATTCAATAGTATCCCTGCACAGAGTACCATTTGAAGAGCTGCAGTCTGCAGACCTCAAGTGTGGAAAGAAAGAGCTTTGAGCTACACCCAGTTGGGTAATCAGCTCTGCACCACGTGGATGAGTTTTGATAAAGGATCCTTGAAGCAATTCAAAAAGCAAATAAATCCTCTTCAATAAAAGGCAGTAAACAACATCTTGGTGGAGAGATAACGAGTATAAGACTCTCACCAAACAGGAGTCTCACCATCGTTATCGGCGGATGAGAGAGTCAAAAGACTCCTCAATCAAGAGGAGTCTTATCCTCCCAACCTGTCAGGGAGCCTAAAGTCCGCTTTAGGAGGGAACCTAATCCTCTTTTTTTTTTTTTTTAGAGCGGAGGGGGAAGAGGGACTTGAACCCTTGACCTTAAGAAGACAAAGTTTTCACAAGACAAAAAGTACCATTAGACCAAAGACCCATTGGTAGATAAGCTAATCCTAATATTCATAAATAGTGCTCGGGAAAACACACAAGAGGTACGCAACACCCACTCCAAAGCCACTCTCCATTTCTCTTACAAAATACCGAGTTAAGCATCAGAGGATCGACCCCAAAACTCCATCTTTGGTCTCTGATTTCTTTTTTAGGTGATTGGAGCTCAGCTAGGCTTCGACAATGGGTCGGGCCACCCTGGCCCATGATTTGTAGCATATAGCATGCCTGTGGGGCAGGCATGATGGGCTTTGACTAGTCAACAGGTCGGGTTAGGCTCGGCCGTGAAAAAATCTAAGGCTCACGGCCTGCCCATGGGCCAAAAAACAAGCTAAACAAGGCTCGAACCGTTATTTGGGCCTGAAACGGGCTTTTTTTTAAAAAAATTAATCTTTTATTGAAAAATTACAAAAAAAAACCCATAAATACATAAAGTTGGATATGAAAAAATAAATTAAGAAAAAAATTATTCGTATTAATTGAATTTAAAAAATAATCATACAGAGTTACAAGGTTATATTGATTGAACGTGAGACTATTTTGCATCACTACAAATTGAGTACATTCCAATTAGGTTAACACCTACACAATTGTCAATCATTTGCAAGTCTCAACTCTTTAAAAGATACAAATCAAATATCAAATCAGGCTTCAAGCCAACTCACTAGGCCCCGCCCCAAAAAAAAAACCCAGGCCCCACTTGCCTAACAGGCTAGCCATGTGTGTGGGTTAAACTGCCTGTTAGCCCGTTGGGCTGCCAAGCTTCAAGCGGGCCATTAAGCTTTGGGCTTTTTGTCGAGGGCCAGCTCCGACCAGCTAATATGCAGGTCGCTAAATATTCTATATCAACATAGTTTGGTGTTGTCTGTGGGAACGACGAGAAATCCTTTGTTCTCACAATTTCCTTAAGTGAAGAATTCTAAATGGTGACTACCAGATAGATGAAAGACTATATCCCCAGATAGTACCATTCTCAAGAGCAACCAGAAGGAGATAATCATGACAGAGATACCCCTCGAATCAATAAGCAGCAAGCATAGAGAATGCTTAACCTAGAAAGAAATTACAATAGGATGAACCCAACTATGGAGAGTTTGGCCCAACAAACACAACAAATCGTTCAATTGCTTGCTAGCCAACCTCCTTAACAGGTCTCCAATTCAGGGAAACCCAGCGTAATCAGCCGAGGGACACTAGAGATGAGTATAGCCACAATGATACCCCTCGCCAACAAAGAGAATATAAATCTCTGGACTGAAAGTTTAGAGAAGTTAACCCCAGTCCAACACATGGAGTCCCCTTTTTTAGCATGATGTAATACATTACCCAGTGCCCCCAAGTTTAAGCTGCCTACAATAAACAGATTTGATGGAAAGAAAGACTCTTTAGATCATCTGGAGATTTATAAGCCTCTTATGGTCCTGGAATGTCAGATGATATGTCGAGCATTTTCCACAACTCTTAAGGAAGCAACTCGACTATGGTTCGACAAACTACCCCCAGGTTCCATCAGTTCGTTTGTTGAATAGAGTAAGTCCTTCCTATCCCATTTCATAGGAGGGCAAACTCACAAAAATCCAGCAACCTACCTACTGAACCTTAAGTAGGGGAGGGGAGTGTCATTGCGTGATTACGTGGCACCCTTTATTGAAGAGTCATTGGAGATTGAGAACGTGGATGACCAAGTAGCTCTGAAGCCATCTAACAAGTAAACTTATGGAAGTTACAAAAAAACAAAAGGAACTGTTCCTCAGACTCGAATTGACAAGCTTCCAATCTCCCTCTATAAAAATAATGATTTTGAACAAGTCCCTCAGTAGCACTAAAAGTTGCTGCAATTATAATTAACTTCCAGAGACAGACTTAATCAAAAATTTAACATCGTCTCCCGTGAAACAAGGCATTGAAGTTAAGTGTGTGACAACTAAAAACTAAGCATAATTTCCAATTACCCTCAATCACATGGGATGCAATTGCTCAACATTCAAGGCCCTTCATCTATATACGAAAATGGGTACATTAAAATGAAAGAAGACATGCAAGATGAGGAAATTGTAAAAGGCCTCACTTCCTTCCATATGTATCTGATAAAAAGTCCCACAAGAATGCCCCAATCAGCATGCCAGCAAAGACCACAGTTGATATCATGCTCTCTTCACTAGAAGAGAGTCCCCATACAGACTGAACAGTCGGTCCTACAAAAGAGAGAATCATCACTTCCATGGCTTCTGCAGTCCAACCTAATCCAGCATATGCAACCACAAGACCCTGCAATTTGTTGGGCCTTTGTGGAGTCTAGTTTGTGTGTTAATCCGGATGATGACCCGACCCGAAATAATATTGCGTAATTTTTTAATGAAAAATTTTCTGAAACTTGGGTCATGGAACAAAGACTTGGGCTGATAGGCCCAAGCCGCAACGCTCATGGATAAGTCTCATGGGGGTTCAAGGACAACGGCCCCGAGGAAAATTTTTGGGCCTATTTTGTAGTCTAGTACGTAGAATATATAAAATCCGTTGTTTTGGTGATTAAGGTTTATGGTGTTTTGTACAGCCGCTCTCTGTATTCATCTCTCTTAATAGTGAAATCCCTGCAGTTTCGTGAACATAGGCAAATTGTCAAATCACATAAAATCTGTGTCTTATTCTTTCTTGTTTCTTATTGCTTTATGTTCTTGGTTTGTTCTTCGATTGTGTGTGTTTGTTTGTGGGTTTAAAGCGTGTTAAATCTCAATAGAATTTGCCGAACCTAATTGTAGAAAGTGCTTCATCCAAAGTGTATACAAGTCTCTGATCTCCCATCTACATAATCAAATAAATAAGATTTTAAGATAGCATTAAAAACATCATTATCCAGTTGATCCTCATTTTAAGAGGTTGCTGGGAGTAATGGGTTGGGTACAAACTTAACGTTTGACATTTTTTCATACAAAGTGGATGCCCTGAGAAAGGAGACAACCATGGTTTTTAGTCCAACACTTCAACCATTTTGCAGACGATGGACAATATTTTTTAGATTGTATGCAAAGAAATTCACACTGAAGAGTTCGTGGAAAAAGAGAATGGCATGTTTTTCTACAAAGGTAAAGCCAGCCCCCATTCACAACTAAAGATTACACAGTTCTTAGCCACAACAAGCTTTACATCTAGGCAATACCCTACATATTAAATAAGTTGAGCAACTCGGATGTGAATGCCTCGGGATTACGACCCAAGCTCAAAGTTTGACTTCCTCGTTGGTTAGACCCAGGCGCATGATTTATGCATAATCATGCCAATGACAAGTTTATCTTATAACAAGTCAGAAAAGCATCGCTGAGGCAGTTCTTTGTCTCCATAAAAATGAAAGATACACTAAATATTAGAAGTAGCTAACTGCTAACATTGTCCGAGTACTCAGAAAATACAAATACGAAAGGCCTCAGAAATAAGATAAATATATATTGCTTCAAGTGCCTTGTTAGGACTAACTTCATGATTTCATTTCAACCGAAAGCATCAAAATCTTGTTTCAAAACAGTCGAATTAGCTGAACCATTTTCATTACCATGAAAATTGAAATGAATCCACATGAAAAAAAAAAAAAACAAAATCAGTGTTATGATCAAAAGGATTACCAAAACCAAAGTAGTGTTATGATCATAATTGTTGATTTCATTCAATAAAAGTTTATAAAAGCATAAAAAAGCAGCAGTATTTCAAAACGGAATTCTGAATTTACTCAACGAAAAACAAAAGAGGGTGAAAAAAGCAGCAGGAATGTACCTTCCAAAATAGGAATGTGCCCCTTAAGCTCTGAATACGATTGCTCCCAAAGCCTCGGTCAGTTGGATTGTCAGTGAATCCCCTGCAACTGCAACTCTTCAATATACAGGACTTGACCACCTACCTCCAAAATATATATTAATATTATGCTCTGATTGAACATTCCTCTACCTACCCAGATGTTGCATTGTCTTTTCCAAGCCATAAATAATGACCACAAAATAAATAAAAAAAGTCCCGCAAATATTCGTTTAAGAAACTCAGGAAATTTAAACCGTGACACCAAAAAGAAACCACGTACTTCGCCGTACTTCTCCATGCTGAAGGTAGTCTCGCTTTGTACCAACAAAGTAACTGCCATCTGCGGCGCCACTGGCCATATACAAAACTTCCGTACATTGGACATGAACACCGAAAAAATATTGGGGTAATTGTTTTGAAAGTTCTTAAAATATAAATTTTATTTTATTTTGATTTATAAGATATTAAATATATTTTTATGTGGTCTTTCGAGCATATAACATTTAAATCGCTAATAATTTTTAATTATAAACTCGTCATGTGATACTTAAAATATAGACAAAAAATAATTTGAGTAGCTTTTAACCAAAATTTGGATAATTCTTGACCAAAAATACTTAATATGAATAGCTTTTGACCACAATTTGGATAGATCGTAATCAAAACTGTATAATTTGAGTAACTTTTTGACAAAAATTTAGTTAAAAATTTGATTAAGAGTTATCTAAATCATATTTTTATCCATATTTAGGTATTATGTGAATAAATTTATAATAAAAATTGTTAATAGTATAGAAGCTATACATAAAAATATATTTAATATTTCAATGACTAAAATGATACAATTAAAATATTAAAACTAAAATAAGACAAATTATATATTTTAAAGACCTCCAATACAATTAACCCAAAAATATTCATTAAAACAATTATACTATGTCATCACATACCTTGGTTACATAATTCATCTGTCAACCTCACGCTCTAGCACTCGGAACTTTCACAAATTCAAAGCAAAAATAACACAAATTCATGCTGTTATTTTACTAAATTGACAAATTCAAAATTTAACTCTAGTCCAACATTGAATCTAACCTAGTCCAACATTGAATTCTATCTTTGGGTTTAAATTTGAAAAAGGCAAATCAATGGACCTATGAATATACTACTTACTTTAGAAACATTTGCTTAAAAATTTTGCCTTTTTTAAAATCAATGGTTTAAATCCCCTCCCTCCCCCCTCTGAAAACACAATAAAAAGGTATGGAGAAGCCAATCTAAACCCGATCTGAAAATTCATCCAAACCAAATCTTATAAACAATGACTTGCCCAGAGTTCTCTTAGCTTTTCGATGTGGGACAACGAGCAAGGCATAAAAATGCCTTAGATCTGCACCAAGTTTTTCATGCCTTCCGATGGGGAAAAAATACATATGCATTGTTGCTGTCGTCTTTATTTATGCACTATCAAATTAAACAAATTTAAAAAATTTATCATGCATTTGTATATAAATTTTATTTTCATAAAATTATGTATATATAAATATGTCTATATGTATATAACATGACGCTCCCAAAACACCCCCATTCTGAATTTTTTTAAAAAATTGCGCTACCGCTCTGTATGACTTAGATTATCACGCTAACATAATGTAACTGTCTAATAATAGGATTACAAGTGAGCAAGTGGATCCCACATTGATAATTATTTCATGACATGAATAGAGTAGTTATTTAATTATGTGTGATCTACTTGCTCATTTGTTGTTCTATCATTGGACGGCTATATCATGTCAGCGTGATGACATAGTGTAGCCATTGCAATGAATATTTTCTCAACCGCTATGATGTAATACGCAGCAAATATGTTTGGATAATATAACAAAAAATAATAACAACTTATTATCAATTAATTATTCATAGCTATTAATTATAAAAATAAATTATATAGTAAACATGTTACATTTTTCTAAGTTGGAAAATAAAATTATGATATCGAAAAAATAATTTTTTTCATACCATAATTTAATATCATTATACACCATCCATATTCTATACATGAAAAAAATTACGGAATGAAGTTCGATACCAAAAAATAATTGTTTGGCATTGTAGTCTTTTCCTATTGCTTGTTGTTTTTTTGCTAACCTAAACCACAATCTTTATTCTTTGGAGGGTCTTTTAACTAATAAGAGATCAAATGTTCAATTATTATCAAAGATAAAAAGACTGATTTCTCATGTCTCCTCTTGTATTTCTTTTCACCCTTCTATAAGGAGAAAATATTCATTGCAACGGTAATACCATGTCATTACCGCCACATAGTATCACCATCCAATTAAAATACAACAAATATGTAAAGTGAATCACATTAATTCAATGTATTACTGATTAGATGTGGTGGTTACTGATAGTTATGAAAATAGTGGGATTCACTTTACCCATTTCTAATCTTTTAATTGGATTGTGACACTACGTGACCGTGATAACGTGGTGTCACCGTTGCATCCGAGTATTTTCTCATCAGTTTTAAATACGCTAAAAATTATAATAATTGGTATAGTGATGTGGGATTAAATTCGGAGCTTTTATATGTTTCGTTTCTAAGCAGGAATCATGTCTCCCTTTCGATTGGAATTATTCTACTGAGGAGACACAAAAAAGTCGTGGTGTTAGGTATTCTACTGAGGAGGAACAAAAAGACACATGCAAAGGTTTGATTAATTTTTCTTCATGTCAATTCAGTTAGCACACTTGCCTGTACGCAAACTGCAATTCGGTGTTGAAACCACTCAATATCTTGACTACTTTGGAATTACTTGGAATTATCAACACCACATGAATTTTTGACATTTGTATGATAACTACTACTACTTTTTTTAATAAAACCTAGACAGAACGAGGGTAAATATTATTAATAAAAAGAAGAAATTACACTTAGTTGAGGGCGACATAAAGTCTGTCCCCTAAAAACATTGTTGATTACATTATTCCTACGGGTCTGTTTGTTTAACGAGATAATGATAGAAAATATAAGAAAAAAAATTTAAAATTTTTTTTAATGTATTTGGTTAGGCCTCATGATTCCTCATTAATAATTCATTATTCTCCTTGAACCCATATTGCCGATATTGTTGTTGCAATAGAATATTTGATGCATTAAATGTAAAATATGTTTTCTCCAATTTTTATGAATTTGGTATAGACTAACCACATCATTCCAATTTAACAGTGATTCTATGTACTACTCAATTTTATTCATGTATAAAAGTCTTGGAATTGTAGACTAAATCATTTATGTCTAGCCTTTGGAAGGATGAATGTTTTTTTTTCGGTGATCAAACTTTTAGGCCTTTAAATTTTTTCACAATTTTAATGGATCTTTAACAGTGAGGTACTCATTTTTTAATTCTTTAACGACCCGATTTCTTTATCAGTAAATGACCAACCTTGTCTAGTAACTATTTTGAGTAGGTGTACGAGACTAAGCAAACCTTATTAGATTTTCACTAAAAAACTAAAAGGATACATACAAGACGGCGGACATTGGTGGCTATAATTCGAAACTAGGGTATCGAGATTACAACGGTCGCTCAATAGTAGTGGTGGCTACTATCGTCATTGCTACATGGGATGGACATGAAAAAAAGCAAGTCGGGCGAAGGAGGTGACTACATACCGGAGAATTAGGAATTAGTAAGAGACGGGGAAAAGTATGGTTTTAGAAAAAACTTTTAGGAATTGAATTATTTTGATGGAACAACCTAGGATTAGGAACCAATAAACCTTTGGTTCAATGGTACTCTTTATCCTGCGAAAGTTTTACTTTCTTGAAGTTAAAGGTTCAAGCCCTTTTCCTCCCTCCCCTCTCAAAAAAAAAAAGAAATAAATAAAAAAAAACTTAGGATAAGGAAATGTAGGAGTAGTCCATTTTTGGATCACTTTTTTGGGGTGAATCTGACCTTCTTTCTCACGCATTTTTTAGGGCTGTCGGGTATGCAACGTGACGATGAAGAAAATTTGACGACTTTGCGCAATTCTTAAGAGTTGCCATGTTTTTATCCTTTATGGTATCTCCAAAAATTTTTGCATCAAGGTAAAGCTCGACATCTAGAATCCCTGAAATGTAGTTGTACCCCAATATGTCTAGAATATAAAATTTCAATTTCGTGATATTGATCATGATAACAAAACTATATGAAACCAAATAATTGAGTTGGATAAATAAAATATACTCGTTAAATCTCCGATATAAATAGCGGCTTGATCACAAGTACATCAAGTATTCAATATATTCATTTTATTCTAAAGTCACTTCAATCATGTGTATAAATATGATGTAGGGTACTGACCATATATAGGACTATTCAAAAAAAAAAACTTTAATATTCAATTACCCGACACTAAATTGAAGCAAACGAATAGTACATAGTTAGTTTAGTTTTTGAGTGGATACAGACTGAAAAACCCGATTCCCCCCAATCTCCTGTCTATAAAAGCATAAAAAAACTATACAACAATATTAGATCTCACATCTCAACTCTCTCTCCAGAAAGCTCTGATGCTTCTATTCTCCCTCTCTAAAAACCCTCAACTTCGTCTTCTAAATTCTCTATGGCTTTAAAAAGAAATCCTACTTTTTGTTATCTCTTTTAGTATTCTCATTCTCCATGTAGTAATGATTTTCATTTTTTTTTCATATAATCAAGCGTTGCAACGACAATGATTCCTACAAATTTACTTGATGTAATCTAGTAAGTTTTAGTTTATTTGTATTTTTGTTCTATCAAATTAGTAGTATTACCTTGTATTAGTAAAAGATTTCATTTATGTATGTTGATTTGCCATCAAATGACTCTATTTATTAATCTGTTAGAAAGATGTTGAGGTGGAAATCGAATTTTCAAAAGTTAAGGGACCTAAATAGTACTCATCATAAGATAAGAGACTTAAAGTATAAATTGCTATATTAAGCCCACCATAGTCTTTTAGCTCTATGTGGAATCAAAACAATTTTTTCATTGTAACTGCTGGATAATATATTCAAACGACTGACCTGAATAAATTTTGCAAAAAATAAATAAAATAAATAAGCACGAATATAATGAGAAAAAATGCTGCCAACATCCAATAATATCTCATGTGTTACTGACACAATTTTATGCATTCAATAATTTGAGCTTCAAGAACTATAAATTAAATCGTGATCTTCCAGCATCACAATAATTTAAAAACTTCAAGTCTTTTTTATATATATGTCATTTTCTAGAATACCGAATTTTTTATATACTTCAAGTACTAAATTTTTCTATCATGTTCTTCAGGAAAATAATTTATATAAAATTATTTATATACTGCAGGTACGCAATTCCTGTGTTTCAGACA